TACTTATTGTTAAAATAAATTCAGAAATATAAATAATGCTTTTAATATATTTCCGCTCACTAACAATAAAACATATATGTATAAACTGTAGGCTTTTGTTTTTCACATGTCACTACCACATATGATCATGTTTGCTTAATTATATCATGAAAAATTATTTTACACGTAAGCGACAACGTAATTTTCACATGACAAAAAGAGTGTTTACGTATTGAAATTTAATTGTTTGTAAAAACTAAATCAATTACCAAGGTTTTAACAAAGCATGAGCTCAGGAAAATTGTAAATATGTTAAAATAGAAAACTTGGCTAGGTATAAAGTTTCAATGAAGGTAGTCAGCATAATTGTCAACTAATGTGATGTATTTAAATAAAACACAAAAATGTTTGAACAATAATATAATAAAATAAAACAACCCGAAAATTATTTCGACTTATTCGGTCATTTACAAGAGTAGAAAAATATGTAACTGTAATGTAAATAAATTGATGTAAATAACCACAACAAACTAAATATTGTAATTATTGTTTTTTAATTTTACAGAACCTATTTATTACGTGAATGAGATACTCTGTATATTGAAACGTCATATAGTAAAGATCGTTTTTGATTTTGTTGACATTTATAAAGATTTTTTCAGCCTACATTCTACAGACGTTGGAAAGGATCGTTTGTTAGAACCACCCTTTACCTATATTTTACCAGGAGATGTTTTCGACTTTTTTTTGTTAGACCTATTTTATTATTATCGAAATTGGCTTTTTAGAACCTGTTGTCTGTTAGTAGAGACCTATAGTTTTGGAACAAAATTAAATATCATTTTGGACTAATATTATAAATATGATTGCGATTGTTTGTTTGTTTGTTACGATTTCACGCCTAAACTACTCAACTGGTCATCATGAAATTTTGTATAGGCATTATCACGAATACGGTAAAGGACATGAAGTACCTTTTATCCAAAAAGCAAATGGTATTTCCAAAAGATAAAAAGTTAATTTTATGTAGTCATCAATGATTTTTGACTAGATGGACTAGAACTAAACATCCTACATCATTAACTATTTACAATCAGTAATCTAATCTAGGCCCTTCGTACCTAAGAAGGTGTCCTAGCAAGCTATCTCGTCATTTCACAAATGCTTAAGAAAAAATAAAATTGAAAAGTTAATTTTCAAATTATCGAAAATGCCATTAAATTTATTGCGAAAATTCCATACTAAAATGGTGACAGATGTCTCCATAAGGCTACGTCTTCCTCTTCAAGACACGATTATTTAAATTTTAACTCCGTTAGAAGCTTTTTTTCGATATTGTCAATGAAACGATTTCAACTATTGATTAATATAAAATGTATTGTCATCTCACCGTTTATGTCTTATAATAAAGAATTGAAATTTGATCATTATCGAAAATTATGTTGAAAAAAGTGACTTCTGATCTTGATTAAAACGTCTTCCTATGAATACTATCATTTGAGTAATTTTTTTATCTACAGCGTAATATCTTATTAAATTTACTTACATTAATCAATATACCTGCTTTTCGAACTTTATTCGTTTCATAAATTAAATGGCAATGAGATTGAAGCAAACTGCTGCATAGCGTTTGTAGTAAATCGCTGAGACAGTGCACCGAACTAGATAAATGCAGATTATACAGTATGTTAACAACAATTTTACCATACCGTAGTGATGTAATTCGAAACAAACTGATTAGGTGATAAACGGCGGTTCCGTTACACGAACCATGCAGTGTGTATTACATAAATTAAAAAAACTTCTATTATGAACGTAACTGGTTTCACTTTAGTTCACCAAATCTATTTTACAATTAGGTGAAAGGCTGTTACAAAATCATTCGATTTCTTTTTAATT